AGATGCAACATCTCTTCGCAGTACCAGTGAGTCAAGCCGATCGGAAAGAGCTCGATCGCCGACGATTCGAACAGCTCTGCGCTGCATGTGATCAAATGGAACGAGTTGGCACTGGGGAGCCTCGGCACAGAGATGGGAACAGTACTCCACGTACGGTCGAATCTGCGCCTTATAAAGTTGCAGGCGGTGAGCTGGCATGAAATACTGTCGCGCTCTGCTGAACACGCCAAGCTTTTTAGAGGCCAATTTGGCCATCTCTTCCAAGTGACCACGAAACTGCACGTCACTCGATATGTCGACGCCAAGGATTCCGATACTGGCTGAAGTAACAACAGGAGTGCCTTGAAACTGAGGAGATACGACGAAGGGATTTTTTTTGCAGTAAACGCGCAAACTTGTGTCTTCTGGGGATTAAACTAGACTAGATTTAGTCGCCCCCAGTCCGAGCTTTGTTCAAAAAAGTTTCGACTTCAGACACAAGTTTGTTCCGGTACCCTGCGACGTTTTCCCGAGAAATATCGGCACGGCTGGTGTATAAAGCTTCACCAGTGCTATCGTCCGCATAGCAATCAATATTACAGGTTTTCAACATGTACAACACGCAGCCTTGTGGAACACCAACGTTAATGGGCTTGTTATCAGAGCACGTACCGTCTACTACGATGATGCTTCGATGACGCTATTGATGCTCCGATCAGCAATACGGTAACCAGTTGTGTCAGACCATATGCCAAAGCAAAGTCATAAATAGATCTATCCGCATGTTCGGTTAAACGAGAACCAAGCCATTCAGCGTGGTGGCCGTTAAAATCACCAAGTATCACGATCTCTGTGGATGGTATCTGTTGTAGCACGTAGTCTGTAGCCATCTGGACGTGGTCGATGATTGAATTCACGTCATTATACATATTATAATATACTATATAGTATAAATACTATTATTTTGTATTTTCACTTTTGATCTCGGTTCCACTGGGGTCATACTTGAGGATTGGGACCATTAGGAGAATTGTTTATATTATAATATACTATATAGTTTATTAATATTATTGAGATTAGATATTGAATTATTATTGAGAGTGAGGATTGATAATAAGACGCAAAGTCCCTTGTGAGAATTTTACTATACTTTGTAATTTGATGAACGTTGTACGCCTCTGTATGTATTATGCATAATACAATAAGTGAAATAAAAAAAAACAATTATACCACTTCTTTTTAATCATATTCTTGTATTGTCATCCGAATTTGAGGCATATTCAAAATTTCATGTTTCCAGCTCATAAGGAAGTGAGATATTCAATGATTTGGGATATAGCTAAAGGTTTAGAGAGGTGAGTCTGCGGGCTGAAGATCCTTATACTCGTATATTCAGCATCCTCTCGTCGTTATGAAATTTTACACTTACAACATTTAAGCTTAAAGCTCTAGCACTTTGACTCCAGCTCTAAGCTCTAGCGATCCACTTTCGCCGGCCAACTAAAGCAAGCCAAAGATGAGAAATTACAAATTCCCTGGGAGAATATTAATATTAACACTAAATGGCTAAGCTTATGTTAAGTTTTGAGCGTAGGTTGTGTTATTTTTTGTCGTGCAAATGTATGCCGTCTAATCTTGAGTCTAGCCGTAAGCTATCAATTAAAATGAAGTAGCGAAGGAAAATGGCTTATTGTATTTAATAAACATAAGCTTAAAAAACTACACACTAATGTTTTAACTGCTAGGTTTAATATTGGTGTGTTAGATTTATTCATGACTAAAACTAGTTGTAACCGGTCGCCAATAGCATTAGACCCGAAGTGGCGAAAATTTATATAGTCTATAAATAATTCGGCTAATAATCAAAAATTTTATTGCAATTGAACAGCGGAACATTAGCCTACGAAGAAATCCAAATCCAATGGTTTTGCTATAGTAAGATTATTCGTAACATTTATAACATTCTAATACAAAAGTACTTTATTCTTTCTGTGTTGTAATAATTTTGAAAACAAAATGAAATAGAAGTCTCGTGAAAATATACGAGTATGTTTCTCGAGTAATTTAGATAAATATTCATATATTATAGCGGTTAATTTTTCTTTTCTGATTTTCCTAAGTGAGCCTAAGTGAATGCTCCAATCTTTATAATGGAATATTCATATCTCAACTATGTGTGCTTTTTGGCGGGGTTGGTGCTTTATTTTAATCAAAAAGACTATATATATATGATATACTTTGAGTTCATATGGTGCTTGCAAAAATTTGTGATTAATGCAAAGACATTGAAGTAATTGGACTGCGGGAATAGTGTTGCCACCAAAGGCACTTGCTCATCATTGCATACAACCGAACAGGCATAAAAACAGAGCTGCTCAAGCATAGGTCAAATAAGCTCAGTTTGCACATATCAATTAGATTGGTAGATTTTGACGTTTATAAGGCTTTGCACAAGCTTAAATTGAATAAAAAGTTTGAAATTTGACTGTGACTTTGAATTACTTTATGTGAATATATACAAACTCGGTACTTATTTGTACAAGTTAAAATTTTACTTGTCTAATTTGTACTAAGTTGTTGCTCTGAAAACTTTTTCAACCTTAAAGTCAGGTAAATTCTTAACGGAGGTATTTTACTCTATATCCTACCCACGCTGCAGCTATATTAAGACTACAACAGGAATGGGTTGGCTTGACCGGGGAAAGGCTTTGTCTTAAAGATTTCTAGCACGTGATGCTGCTGTATTTTATATGGTAAGTGGAAGAACCGTAGACACCTAGTTATTACAGCCAATGTTTGACCGTGATTCCACTTGGTGGAAAGTGGTGATCAAGCCCTAAATGGTAGTCGCACTATCTTAGCGTATCAAAAGTTTATTCACTTGTGCTTTGAAGACGCCCAGCTTGTATTCGAACGAAAAGACAGATACCGGAAAATTATTCCACGCTTTTGCTGTACGCATTACGAAATATGAAATAAACCGTTTGGTTCTAATGCGTGGAATATCCAACACAAAGGGCTGAAGTTGCCGACGGTCGGGTAGTCGAATGCTTAAAAGGAGAAGTAGAAATTAAATCATGTTATTCCTGCGCAAATTTTCCGATATGTATCTTATAGAATACTGAGAGGTTAGCTACTTTGGAACTCATGCTCTGAGGCTGGTAAGATTGGTTCAAAACAAATCAAGGCTACTATTGAGCTCCTTAGCACGTCTCTCCTTTATATATAATGCTGCTGGGTTGCATTTTACAGGGACAGCCCATATGTGACAGCAGTACTCCATGCAAGACTGGACTTGCGCTTTATTAAGGTTTTTACGTGGTAGAGCCATGCTGCCGCTGTATCAGTTGTATAGTTGTAGCACGAATGGGTCGGCTCGACCGGGTAAGGAACACGCTCTCTCACAGAATACCAGCGTCAAATAGCAGCTTAATGCTGCTGTGTTTCGTATGGTGAATGTAGAGAACCGAAGACCCTTTTTACTGGAAAGAGGCATTCCATCTTAGTCCTCAAGGCTGACAACGCATCTTCATTTTGATTCGCAAACGAGGATAGATGCAGATGTACCCCATCAGGTGGACTGTGTGCTCGCTTGTCACCCTTTTCCTATAAAAAAAGCTGCCCTGACGTGTAGTACGGCCGCTAAGATACCTAGTTTTCTATTGGCTGCTTTGGTCTTAGACTTAATGAACCGCCCATAGTTGAGGTTCGGAAAAATCTCAACATCTGCAGGTATATCTGAGGGTAACTGTATATACGTTTGTATGATTCCCATCAGTATTCACATCCCAGCAAGTGTCATCCTGTAGATGTATGTTTTGTCAACCCAAAGTAAAGCATGGCTAAATGTTGTAGGGGTTTTTACTCAGCATTTACTTTACTCGTGTATAAAAATTGCAAAATACATAATAAAATGTTCTGCAACAAATTATGGTGATACTCATGAGAATAAGTTATATGACAGCCTTTGTTTCCTGTGTTTCAACTAACTTTTAATAATATATTCCATTTTATTGGCAATCTTTTCTCAGACTTACTTGTCTGCAACACTGTATCTCTGTTATATACTCTTAATCTTAAAAATTCTCTATCTCTATTATATAAAAATTGATGAATGAATTATTGAATTATTCATATTTAGAAACCTTAAAAAATATAACCTTGGAAAATCTTGTAAAATTGACGGTGAGTTGGGGACAACTGACGGAAAGTCGGGTGATACTTGTAGAATAGGCGGAGTTGCTAGTGGTATCGGCACAATTGGTGGGGAGTAGGATTGTATTTGTACAATAAGCGGAGTTGCAGGTATCAGCACAACTGGCGAAGAGGTAGTTAATGTTTCATCTATTGGCGGAATTACAAGTGGTTGTGGCACAACTGGCGGAGATGCAGATGGTACTTGTTGAATTGGTAGTGTTGCTCGTGGTATCGTTTTAACTGTAGAAGAGGCATATAGTACTTGTTGAATTGGTTGCACAGACGGCTCCATGGCGAAGTGGCGTAGCAATGAGTTTACAGCGCTAAGGGCCGCGGGTTCGAATCCCGCACGGAACAAGTATTTTATGGCCTACAAGTAATTGTTCCGAGTCTGGATGTTTGTCCTTGTGAAATTTATGTTTGTAAACTGCCCCCACGATACAGGAGAAAATCCTAGTTTGGAGGTAACGTTTTAAAAAAAAAGAAAATAATAATTATTATTATTATAATATAATAATAATAATAACAAAAATAATAACTTAATTTTTATTTATAACTATATATTTACAGAACTAAACCAGATGAGAAAACTATATAGATACCCCCCATAATAATAAATAATTGGTGGTGTTGCAGGTGGTATTGGTACAACTGGTGGAGAGGCAGATGGTACTTTTTTAATTGGTGGTATTGCAGGTGGTATCAGTTCAACTGGCAGAGAGGCATATAGTTCCTGCTGAATTGATGGTGTTGCAGCAGGCGGTATCGGTACAACTGATGAAAATGCAAATGGTACTTTTTCAATTTGTTGTATTGCAAGTGATATGAGCATATCTGATGGTAAAGCGTATGGTACTAGTACGATAGGTGGAGTTACAGGAAGTATCGGTACTACTAGTAAAGAGGCGGTTGGTAGACTTGCAGGTGATGTCGGTACAGCTGATGGAAAGGCAGATGATGAAGACGACGAAGAACTGTTGGAATATCAGATAGTAATACCACAACCAATAGCAATTTCGATGATGCTTGTTTATTTAGACCTGCATCTTGGAGACCGGTTTTTAAATATTTTTCCTCGTTGAAGTGCTTGAGTATTGTTTTACTTTTATAGGACTTGGTTTCTATGTTATATCTATAACAAAAGCATAAAATCACATAAAAGTATGTTAGCGCCAACCGGTATAGATGATGTTTAAAAATTAAAAACGGTCGCGTAAAATATTATACTAGACTGGTACAAGTGACGTTTAAACAAAATAAGACAAACCACGATTAAAAAAATTGCCCGCAAGTGATGATTAATTAATTTAAAAAACACAACCACAGAGACAAATAAAAAAATATTTACTACCGAAAAAATATTGTTTTGATATTTTTATCACATAAGCAATCTCAACAGCAAAATTACGTACAAACCCTATGAAAAGTAGGGTTATATGGAAAACCAGATTAAATGTTATTTTATCGAAAACTAACAATTTTTTGGCCAATGTTTTACGAAAATACTATGCTATGATTTACACAGAATCATCACTATCTTCCATAAAACTAATAATATCTTGATAATTTAACACTTAAGTAGCGCGTCGCTAAGCCATTTTGTTTGTAGTAATCACTTGTACCTCTATGGTCGGAACAAGATAGAGCAATTACTAAGACACGCAGTTATACCACCTGACGCATAGATGACGTGGCTTACAAAATTACTTCTATCTATTGGCACGATAAAGGCAGGTCTATGGCCTGTGTTTTGACTCACTTAAATCACGTTTCCCATATTTGGCACTTATATCACTATGGTTCCCAACCCGTGATCTACCCATGAATTTGGGAAGGCTGGTGATTCAGAGTGCACGTTTCTCCTAGTCCTTGCTTAGGGTCTCTTAGAAGGCGTAGGTACGCCCTGGTTTTGAGTGAGTAATTTGACATTAATTTTATGTCTTAATCGTACTCGTAAATATTTTTATTAACATTTAAAGCGTGTTTATTTTTTAATACAAGTCAAGTAATAAGTCAAAAGAGCAAACTTTAAGGAATGTATAAACACAAATTGCTATTAGCGCAAGTGTTTGATACTGTTGTATCAATGACTAAAAATTTACGAAAATATGAGCGACGTAAATTAAACTCGATGGCGATACGAATTCGTTACGATTAAAAACTAATGCTTAGGGAGCTAGCAAATTTATTTCAGTTTAATGGTGAGGCAAGTCAGCAAGATAGCTTCCAGTTTGTGTATTCAAATGGTAAGAATAATAACAGCTCTAATAAAGTGAAATGAAAGATGAATAGAACATTGCATTGACCGAAATTGTTCAATTAATAAAATAAAAATAATAAAATTTTATTTCACAGATTATTGACAATGCATCTAATTTCAGACTTATCATTATCTCGTCATTACAATCCTCCACAAGTGCACCGTTGAATATATACTTCCCCCAAGGAATACCATGCATGGACTTATAAATTAATATAAAATACACCCATATTTACCTGAATAATAAATTAAATTAAATTAAATAACAATAAAGAATATGCCAGCTGTGTTACTTGCCTAGAATGTCTTAAAAGGCGACTAATGGGATATTGTATTGATTTTTGATGGGTAGGTCTGTAATTAATACTATAACAGCTCATTTTGTAAAAGGTCTTTGTTTAGTAAAATAAATAAACTTGGTGATAGACAGACATTGCATATTTTGCAGACTTTTTTGTTTAGAGTATAATTTGCCTGATGAATGAATTATTGACTCTAGAATCGAGTGTTTGATATCACCAGATTGTGTCCAATCCTAGTGCTTAAATAATGTTATACGTGGTATGACCACGCCGCAGCTATATTATGGTTGTAGCACGAATGGTTAGGCTCGACCGGGGAGTGACCGCGCTCTCACAGAATACCAGCGTAAAATAGCAGCTTGATACTGCTGAGTTTCGTATAGATGTATATAGGTGGGTGTAGAGATCCGGAGACCCTTTTTTACTGGAAACGAGGCATTCCATCTTAGTCTTTAGGGGTGACAACGCATCTGCGTTTTGATTCTTAATCGAGGATCACAGAATCCTCTTACCATCAGGTGGACTGTGAGTTTGTCACCCTTACTGTATAAAAAAATGTACATGACTATTTTCTTAAAAACCATTTTGTTTTTTGAGCTACACGGCTAAACATAATGTTATGAAAACACCAAATCTAGCTTACTCTACATTAGTGAGTCTTTTAATATTTTTAACCACCAGTGCTTAAAATTCCACAAACCACACCAAAAACGGTAGAGCCGTTGCAATAAGGTCTAGCCTTTGAGTATAAGGGTCTAATAGTCCATCCTTAATCGTCACGCTTGACAGGCGGGTAGCGGATGGACAATCGTTGGACCATGATGTATCGCACGTTTGACGATGCTGCCAGTTACTTGTCTGCTCTGGTTATTGTAAAACTGACATAAGCGAATTGGTAAGAGTTTATTACTCTAAGAAGCCGTTAAATTTTTCTGGCATTTCCCGTAGTAACTTCTTATATATCACCCCACTTCTTATCGTGGATATCGTAATATCCAAGATAAGAAGTGGGGTGATTATGTTATTTTACGTAAATTTTATACTCTAGTTTTATAGCTGTTTAAATGTAACTTATTGACGTAAAACTAGCATTATTCACATTGTAATATTTAAATGATCATATCAGTGATTAATCCCAGATATCTGAATCTTTAGACTTTATTATTATTGCTATTGCTTATCTTGGTAGATTTTTTATATTTTTGGAAAAACGTCACTCCGACAGTAGGATTTGCACCTGAACTGTACCAATTATTTGTAGGTCATTCACAAACTTGTTTTGTGCGGGATTCGGACCTTGGCCCTAGGCCTTGGCCCTTGGCCCGGCGTCGAAAACAAACTCGTAGCTAGTGCGCTACGGAGTCGTCAATAATAGCCATTTTAAGTGCCATTTAAGAGTCAAAGTCAAATCTCTTGAAATCATGGTTATTGATAATAACCATGATTTCAAGAGATTTGACTTTGTAATATGGGCATGAACTACTTTCACATGGAAGGGTTTGTCACAATGTTTCGTTATTCAACTTAACCTTTCAAGTCTCCTTCAAGCACTTATTTGAAAGTGACAAACAAACTTATAGTCTACCTGACACCTGTAAGCATAGTGGTAAAAAAGGTAAATGGTAAAAAGGACTCAATACTGGTCAAGGTCAAGTACTGACTCTCTACGTCCTTTATTTAAAATTTGCAATATATTTTGATACGATATACATACTAAATTGTTTTGAAAATTTATTTAGGTCAGCGTACATCGCACGTAGTTATAAATTATAAGAGCTTTGCTAACTTGCCGCCTCGCTCCACGTTCCATAGCACTTAATGAAATGCATTTTCCGTCGATTTTTGGCGTAACATCGCTTGTGCGTTCCGCGAACTTTGCTTTCAAACATTTTATAAACCACTCTAAAAATTTTGTCCCGAGTTATTGGAAATATTTATATAGGGATATCGTTAATGGAGGCGACGGTGTTTGAATCTCAATAAAGAATTATTGGTTTATAATAATGGCAGTTTTATTTTGGATTAGTATTTTGGTGACTTATACCATTTAAATAAAACATGTCATTACTTTATGATTTCTTTATGCGAACACTGCAGATCATTAAAGTAATATGTACTTACGCACTAGAACGGGGCCATCTCAAACAAAAAGTACTCGTACACTACTCTGTGTTCCGTGGTTGTATTTTTATCATAGAATAAATATAGGTAGAATGATCTGTAGGTAATAGTAGATTGTATTGTTAAATAGGTAAATTATATCGAGAACAATATTTAAATTTTGTCATTTATTTTGTATCTTGTATTTACTTATTTAATATAATATTACATAATATTATATCACAATTACATTTTAATGATATTTTTATCTGAATATTTTAAAAGGTATCCATGTCAAATATAAAAAACACACTAAATGTATGTTTAACAACACTTATTAACATAACATTTAAATTACAAATATATTTATTTAAATTAGAATAAGAGTCGTTCATAAATGCTGGGCACGTAAGAGTAAAAAATGGACGAATTTGTTCCACTTTGACTTTGATGTGGAAACCTAAAAAAATAAAAACAATAATGAGCAGATTTAAATATAAAAATTGTGCCTAATTACGATAACTTATATATTTTTCTACAAAAAATGTGTATAATAATATATTCGTCATATACTTAAGTACCCACAGAAATGTCGCATCTGAACAAATTAATTTCATAATCTATATTCCATGACATGAGATGGCGTCTTAAGAATAATTTGTTTTATTATTAATATATAAATCTTATTAACCGATGAAAAGTAATTAATTGGTTTTTTACTGACATTTCTTGAATTATTTGTGCAATATCCTAAGTACACACGACCACATATTTTTCTCAAGAGATTTTTTTTAAAATCAACACAACACGTGACAACTCTACAAGCGCCTAGCGAGTGACTGATTAAAGTGCGGTGTATGCACCGCAGTTGAGTGGAACAGAGACGAAGCAACAGATTTTATTGCGTTTAATTAATATGATTTTTAATTCCCGATGATTCGGGTGCTTTCTAGTACCTATGGACACGAGGAACTGAGGTGACTGACATCCTGATGTCAATGTTAACCCGGAGTACCTTCAACTTTTTAATTATCATTTATGATCCGATTTAAGTATAATAAACTTACTGTGTCTTGAAGTCTTGCAGTGGTATGCTTGGGTTTAGTTTTAATTTTATTAATTACAGGATCCGAAGGAGGTGGTAGTACCAAGCCTCCTTGTCTATTGAAATTAGGATGTTTTTTAATTTCAATAGCCTCACGCATCATCCTTGGTAGGAACCAATGTTCTTTCACGAGGATTTGTGGTCTATCAAATCTGATGTAATGGTGGGGGTCGTCTAGGATATGATCACAAACTGCAGACTTCTCAAAATGTTGATGCTTCACGTCAGCTATATGTTCTCTTATATATACAAACCACTGTAAGACTTCAAGACACAGTAAGTTCATTCTGCATAGCTCGGACCATAAATAAGATT